AATTATGAGGAATTCTGGCAATGCCCAGCTGGAGGTGGGGCAGCGTAGGGCTGCGGGGAGGCAAGAGGAAAAGAGCTTCGGGGGGAAGCTGGGCTTTTTGGATGGTTTGGCTTTTAGTCACTGCCCTTATAACGAGGCTTGGAGCCTTCTTTGAGTCAAGCCGTGACTTGGAGACTTGAGAGGAAGCGCTTGCCGTGAGCAGGTAGGAAGGTTCTGATTCAAGTGGGAGAGAAGAAATCATTTGTTACCAGGAGCAAAGCCCTTAGTTGTTTTTTAAGGAGGTGTGAAGCGCGGCTGTTGGGAGGATGAGTATTTTGAATGTCGATTGATGCAGCAGCGTTTGTGGATTTGGCGCTCAACCGGCTTCAGCGTTGGCCCATTTCCTTCTTCTCCCAACCAGCGGTGCTCTGCAACCAGCAAAGATCACTTCTCACTGTGCTGTGTTCCAATTTGTTGCCTTGTTTTGGGGTTTTTTTTTTCCATATTCATTAGAAATCTGTCGCAGTTTTCTGTTTGGGAGAGGTGGTTTCTTTTTAATGTACTCCCTCACCTCTCCCGTTACAGTGGGATCAGGGATCTGTGTCCGTGGTGGTTCTTACAGGTTCTTAGAGCCACCAAGATGATGAAGGGAGTGGAGCATCTCCCTGATGAGGAAAGGCTGAGGGAGCTGGGGCTCCTCAGCTTGGAGAAGAGGAGACTGAGGGGTGACCTCATTAATGTTTATAAATATGTTCAGGGTGAATGTCAGGAGGATGGAGCCAGGCTCTTCTCAGTGATGCCCAATGGTAGGACAAGGGGCAATGGGTGTGAGCTGGAACACAGGAGGTTCTGCTTCAACTTGAGAAGAAACTTCTTTCCAGTGAGGGTGACAGAGCCCTGGGACAGGCTGCCCAGGGAGGGTGTGGAGGCTCCTTCTCTGGAGACATTCAAGACCCACCTGGACGCCTTCCTGTGTGATCTCATTTAGGTTCCTGCTCTGGCAGGGGGATTGGACTGGATGATCTTTGGAGGTCCCTTCCAATCCCTAATATTCTGTGATTCTCCAAAACAGCTTGTACACCCCAAATTCTAATACTGAGACAAATCAAACCTTCAACATTAATAAACAAGTGGAAACGTTTATCTTTGCCTGAAAGGTAAGGATTTTTTTTTTGGCCCTCACGATTCATTTAATTTGGTTCTGAATGGTGGGATTTAGTTCTAATATATGGTGTGTGGTCGTTACGTGACAGTGACTAATGCCTGGTGACCAGTCTGGCTAGCTGGGGTGGAAAACTGCTGTGCTGTCATGCCCTGACCACTGAAAGTGAAGCGGTTCTGGATGGCCCTTGCTGGTAGCATGTTGTCAGTCTGCTTCTTAATGACTATCTTAAAAAATAAAACCAAAAGCCTCCTGGAAAGGTGGTTTGTTTTTTTTTTTTTAGGTCTGTCCCTTTGTTTCAGTTGCTGTGTCTCTTCCCTGCCCCCAGCTCTACTCCACCTTGTGTTTTGTTTCCTCCTTCTCCCTTTGCTCTCATACTTTGTCCCTTCTCCACACTCGATTTTTCTGCCCCTCCTGACGGCTGCTTTCGAAATACACCACTTATTTGCCAATCCAGACTATTAATCTTTGTCCCGCCTACTCATGAGGCATGAAGGTTTTACAGGAGCCCATTAGCTGTTATCTCTGTACCTGCCCTCCAAAGACTCACGGAGGGGTGGAGAACGGAGCTCTAACAGTGAAGTGCCTTCTCCTGGGGACATCGATTGCTCTTCTCACTAATGTTGGCACCAAGCTCTGGTCGTAGGTCCCAGATTTCCTATCTGCCTGCCTCCACCCTAGAAAAAAAAACCATCTGAAACCTTGAAGCTCCTTGTCCTTCCTCTGAGAGGAAAGGAAATTTGGCTTTTCAATGCCTCTTTATCCCAGAGGCTGATGCTGGGTGAGCAGAAAGCTGGTTGTTCACAGCCCATCCTGTACTCCCAGCCTTGCCCGTCTCCGATGCTCCACAGGGTTAATCTCCCAGTGCTTGCTGGGTTCTGACTGGTGTCGCCTTGGGAAGAAGCGCTGGTGCTGTTCTCATGGTGAGGAGGGCTGTCACAGCCATCACCAGGGTGAAACTCTCCCTTCTGCAGTGGAGTGTGGCAAGCTGTGCTGGGAGGGTGGGGGTGGCTGGCAGGATGAGCCAGGCTATAGAAAGGGAGGGGTTTTTTTCTTAGCCCTTATCACTGTTGTCTTGCACTGGTGCAAATGGTGCAAATTAATCCTGTACATGTGCTGTACCATTGATATTTTTCTTAAAAAACAAAACAAAACAAAAAAAACCACCAAAAAACCCAAAACCAACCAAAAATAAACTTTCACTGCTACTCCTTTCATGGCTATAGAAAGGGAGTGGTTTTTTTTCTTAGCCCTTATTGCTGTTGTTTTGCACTGGTGCACATGGTGCAAATTCATCGTGTACCTGTGCTGTACCATTGTTATTTTTCTTAAAAAAACCAAAAAACCCCCCCAAAACCCCCCAAAAAACCCCAAACAACCAAAAATAAACTTTCACTGCTACTCCTTTCCAGGCTATATAGAGGGAGTGTTTTTTTTTTTCTTAGCCCTTATCACTGTTGTCTTGCACTGGTGCAAGTGGTGCAAATTAATCCTGTACATGTGCTGTACCATTGTTATTTTTAAAAAAACCAAAAAATACCCCAAAAAACCAAGCAACCAAAAATAAACTTTCACTTCTACTCCTTTCTTTTAGTTTCAAAACATGCTTTGAAGGTAAAACACTTTTGGGAGGGGGCTGTATGTAGACAACATATTCTGAGCCTTTGTTTATTTGTGGGTATTTAGGGCACTATTCCATTTTCTCCCCATGCTTGCAGAGATTAGTGCTACCTGTGTCCACCTGACCTGGCACACCTCTCATCTTTGGGCTGTTTTGTTTTGTTTTGGGGGTTTTTTTGTCTTTCTTTATGCATGCATCCTTTCTTCTCTTTCCTCCTTACA